AAAAAAAAAAAAAAAACATGAGCAGTGAAATGTTGAAAAGGTTTTGATATTATTATATGACTTCTCAACAATTTTCTTTTTTTTCTTGCTCCTTTGTCTGGAAATAGGGATTAGATCAATTTCCCTAAGATTAAAGTAGTCGCCTGCTCAAGGCAAGATTTCTGTTTTAAGTGACAGATTTCTATTTTCTGAGCCAGTGAAACTTCTCCACTGCTCTAATGACATTTACAGACATCCTACTCATAGCTGACATTCCCTGCAGACCTATAGAAAACCTGATGATACTACTGACCATGTTTTCTCCAGCTTTTCTGTGTCATTTTAGTTCTTGTGTCCAGGTTTCTGTCCTTATTCATAAGCTACATACAGCTGCCACTGCATTTGTTACTTCTTCCTTCCCCAAGGTCTCTTTTTTCCAAAGGCTGAGATGGAAGTATTTCTCCACTCAGCCACTCTTAAAGCTCTTTTCTGAGGGATGTAGCCTGTCTGAACTCTGCAGAACATGTGTGTGACATTAATTGTAGGACCAGTCAGCAGTTTCTGACTTCAAGAGAGTTTTACAGCTGAAAAAATTCACTCTGGACACTGGGGCCTTGGCTCAGACTGGAGGGGTGCATCACTCATGGGTTACTTTGAAATGTGCAGGATGGACAGCTCTGTCCTTGGTGTGGATAACTCACACATTTTTATTTTCCAGAGGTGTTAATCTAGCACCCCCTGGAGGAAGTATATTTCAAAACACTCAAAGGAAAGAAATATTTTTAAAATCTCCTTTGATGCAATCAGTTCTGCAACCAGACTCTTAAATTTTCCCAGTTTTCTATGGGTTCTTTGCAGAAATACTAATGTAATTTTTCTGTAGGCAGGTTTTCATCCTGAGATAATACATGCAATTTTTTTCTTCCTTAGACTAAACATGTCAATCTATGATTTTCTGATGAAGTGCTGGAGGATTTCTCAAACTTCATTAATTACATGATCAAAAAGAAAACTTGGACTGTCACTCATAAATGACAAGAAGAACCATTAAAAAGGTCTGTGTGAATCTGGTCCAAGAAAAGTGAGAGTACGTGTACGTCCATATGCTTTTGGCTAGGGTGGGCTCCTGTCAGGCAAGATGGGGGAAGACTTTACTGTAGGGCTGAGCCTGGATCTGCAAAAATACCCAAACCCATGTCTTGGAAATCCTAAGGCTATTAGGAATAGTTCAATTTTTCAAATCAAGTGGAATTGCTTTCTTTATTAGACAGAAGAGACCATCTGCTGGGGCTTGCAAGCTACCTACCGAGTTTGATGTTTGGAAACGCAAAAGTGCCAAAGGCAAGAATTTGAACTGCTTTCCCCCACCAGCCTGGGGAGAAGAAGGGAATAAATAATGCCAAAAATGTATTTATGCAGCTTTAAAATTCCATTTGAATGTAACAAAATAGTTGTTAGCAATTTATAAGTGTCAACAAGGGGGTTTTTTTATTATTATTATTAGCTGGTTTTGGGAAATACCTGGCTGCATTTACAAAGTGGTTTCAAAGACAACTGGGAGTGGTGATCAGTGCTGCATCCAGTGAGGCTCACTGGGGAAGTGTGAACAAAAGTTGCATTATTTTTGATCTCTGTTTGCCATAGGTCAGCCTCTCCTCATTGCTCCTTCTCCCCCAGCAACAAAAGTCATCTGTGGTCCCTGCTGAGAGTATCTTCTCCCTGAGAACTGCATTGCATCCTGCTTCCTGCATTAGCTCCCCTGTGCATGATTTTGGTGTGTTGGTTTTGTTTGCTTTCCTTGAAGGTCTTCCTAATTTCCCAGGGAGTCCTTCCTTTGGAGGTACTGAGACTCATTGCTGCTTAACTTTGTAATTCATGGGTAATTCCATGCTGGTTGTCCCCCTCTGAAAGTGTCCCAAACAGTAGCAGTGGTCAGTAAGGGATATCTGGATGAAAAGCATAAGAAAAAGGACATAAGTGACACTTTTCTTCTTTCCTTTTCACGTGATGTCTCTGGCTGCCTTCCTTTCTCTACCACATAATAAGGAAGAAATCTGGGGCTGGCTGCCTGACTTGGAAAACCCTTCATGTTAATAGTTTATTCTCATTTACAGCATAGCAGGAGCATAGATTATCTGCAGGACTGAGCTATCAGTATTTGGGAAAGTGGTTGAGTAAAAGCATGTCCTTGGTATGTTTTCTTTTGCACTACAAAATTGTTTTTTCCTTACCTACAGACAAGCAGCCAGTGGTCAGAAAACATAGCTGAAGATGGCTGTGGGATAGCATTACTCTTGCTGGTTTGGGATGATTTTAAACACTTTATTTTCCATGCAGAACACACAGTTATTAGTTTAATCATGAAATATGTTTTCCAAGTTGCTTTTTCCAGATCTGATATGAAGAATTTGATATTGCTTTCTCCAGAGGTGAAAAAAAAAAAAGAGGAGAAAATTAAATAGCACCAGTCTTTCTGAATGTTATTATACAGGGTGATAGAGAGCTTCAAACATTAATGCAATACAAATGCATTTGAACATTTACAGTAGGATTTGAGTAGCTGCCTTCAGGTCCTTTTCAACCAAACTCCTTTTTATATTGTACTTTGTAAGGATGTCCTAAATTTCTTTTGCTAGAACCAGTATCAGAGGTGACAGTTTCTAGCTTGTACCCCTCCATCCACGATGGGGTATTTTCAAACTGCTGGCTTGTGTATCACTACCTGTAGGGAAAAAAGAGGTAATATTTGCAGCTTCTTTTTCTCCTGGCATATGTGTACCTACACAGTTCAGAGCCTGAAAACTCATTACATCTAGAATGAGCTTGAACAAAGCTAGGAACAAAGAGAGGGATGTATATTGCTAAACAAACCTTAACTCAGGGAACAGATGGGAAAGGTGATCTCTAGAAAGAGATCTTCTCCATTCTGCCTGGCTCTGGAGGGGGACAAGTACAAAATGGGGCTGTTGAGAGATGGATTATTTGGAATGTGGTACAAAACTGCCCTGAGCTGGGAGGGAAGTGTGGAGAGTGTACATGGAGAGCAGTTACAGCACTCAACTGCACACAGCAGATCAGTACATCTCTAATTATTATTTGTCTGGCTGGCTAAGCAGTGCAGCATTTAAAACCTAATTTGTTGTATAATTTAATTTTAATTGAGTCTCCTATCCACACAGGACTCGTTAAGCTAGCTGTATGTTTCACTTGCTGTCTTTTTACATGGATACTATGGGAGAGCTGCAGGAGCTGAACCAATCGTGTGCTTGCTTTGTGCTATCACCGAGGTGCAGTAATTCCTTGGTATGATTGCAGAGGGATCTCTTGGCAGGACTATTTGGAAAATATGTCTTCTCAATGCCACAATATAACAAAACAACTTCTTCTCTTAGCTAATGCTACAGTTTACACAAAAGATTTGGTTGTTGGGTTGTTAGTTGCATCTCCCATGTGCTGGTATTTTCCTCTGCCACTCAGAGATAACAATTACCAGTCACTGTGAGCAGTAATAAAAATGAAGCAGCATGACAATGCTTTTGAGTGATTGCACCTTCCATTGATGTGCCTCCCTTTATATAAAAGGCTCTATTCCTCAGTGAGGACAAAGGTGAAAGCAAGCAGGGTCTTTTACAGAAAAATCCTTTTAGAGGAATGGACACATTAAGGTCTCAAAGAACATTTTTTTTTTACAATATTATTACTAAGGTAAGAGTTAAAAACTAAGGTCAATAACAAAAAGCTCTTAAGTACATGCATCAGTTGTGACTAATGTGTGCTTAGGTATTTTTCCTCACCTGGGGATCATGTGATTGGGACAGTGGAAGAATACTATGTTAGGTATCAGTTAAAAGTACAGATCCAAACATTGCTATATTTGAATACTTTGGCTTCTAGCAGTGGCCCCATACAGATGTCTTGCACAGGCTGTGAAACTTCAATGGCCAAGAGGGGCTGCACAGCTCCAAAGAGAGAGAACAAAAAAAGGCAAAATGTGAAAAGTCAAGCAGTAAAAGCAGCACAGGGCTAAGGCTGGTTCAAGAGAAAAACCTGTGGAGGAAGCCACGTTGTGGCAGTTTTGTTTGTTCCCCTTGGGATGCCTTTGGCAGCTGCAGTGTGCCTGGAGCTCTGGGCTTTGTGGTTTTCAAAAGCCTAGCCCTAGGTGGAACCCTAAACCTAAATCTAGGCACTAAAACCAGCCTAGGGTTAAGGCTGCTTCCAAGGAAGAAGCTGTGGAGGAAGCCATGTTGTGGCAGTTTTGTGTTCACCTTGGGGATGCCTTTCTCAGCTGCAGTGTGCCTGGAGCTCTGGGCAAAAGGAACAAAACCTGTATAAAGGAGCAGATTAACAATTGCACGGCAATCATACTGTTTTACACAAAGGACCACCAATTGGACGACATGGCAATGAGGTGGTCGATGCCGTAACAAAGAGACAAGTCAAGTTCGGAAAGCTTTGTCCCCTGCTCTTGTCCCCGATAATTCCAGGGTTTACCCTGTAAGAGTTTTCTGAGCAAAACTGGTGGTGCCCCCTCCACGCGTGACCCCTTCCTCACTGAACACGGATCCTGCCTCAGTCCAGCTTCTTTTGAAAGCCTGGCCCTGGAACAGCAGCGTGTGTTGTTTATTTAGCCACTGCTAGCAAACCAATGCCTGCTCAACATCCAAGAGTTAAACTATAACAAATTTTTTGTGGATGAGACCGCTGAAACAACCTCAGCCGGCTTCTAGCACACACGGTCGCAGTGATGCGACCGACCTGCCCGTAACAAAGATGGCGGCGGGGCGGCCGGGCTTGCCCACACCCGAGGTTCCTGCCCATATCCAAGATGGCCGCCGGGGCGTCACCGCTTCTCAGCCCCTCCGCTGCCCAGCTTTTCCCTATGGGCAGCGAGCGGCGCGGCCTCACCGGAAGCGGCGGCGCTCCGGCCGGCCCGGCGCGGCTCGGTGGCGGACGGCGGAAAGCCCGCCCCGCGCGGCGCGGCGGCCAATGGGCGCGGGAGCCCGCCCCGGCCGCATCAGCTGATGGGGCAATGTCTGTTGACAGGAGCCGCCCGGGCCGCGGCGCTGGGGTGAGGGGCCCGGGACGGGCCGCGCCGCGCCGCGGGGCCGCCGCACCCCCGCGCCTCGCCGGCCGCCCCCGCCCCGCTCCTGGGAAGGCAGCGGACGGACGGAAGCCGCCCCCGCTGGCTCTCCCGGCTCGGGGAGGGGAGCGGCCCTGCGGGGTGGGGGCGCCGGGAAGGGGCTGGGCTGGCTGCGGGGGGCCGAGCGGGAGGGAGGGTTTGGCGGCGCCGCACAAAAGGGAGCGGCGGGGCCGGGGGAGCCCTGGGGGTGCGAAGGGGCTGCGGGGCAGCGGCGCGCCGGGCCCGGCCTCGGGGGTGCCAGGGAGCGCTGTGCCGCCCCGGGGCCGTGTGCTGATGGGGTTTGGGTTCGCTTTGTTTGTTTTTGTCAGATGTGAATCCAAATGGAGCAATCGGAAGGAGGCGAGCAGAGCCAGCAGCAGCCGCAGCCCTGGGGGAAGCTGATCCGGCTGGGTGCAGATGAGGCAGAGCCGCACGTCCTGCTGCTGAAAAGAGAATGGACTATCGGGCGGAGGAAAGGTGGGACAGGGACGGGCTGCGCTGGCCTGGGGCGGTGTGCGGGGACAGCAGCCATCCCCCTCCTGGCCTTTACAGCGCTGGGAGCTGGACTGAAACTAGTTGGGCTTGGTGCTTCCGGCTGTTGGAGGTGTTTGCCAGGCACCCCCAAATTCCCAATTTGCCTCAGCTGTGTGAATAAGTAGTTTTATGCTGACCTTTTCTTTTTCAGTAACTTGTGACACATTTTAAAGTCAGAGTGCCTTTTTAGGTAGTCTGTGGCAGTTTGTGCAAATAAGGAAACCCGACTGTTGATTCAGAAGTTTCTGTGCTTCGGTCTTGTTTACGTTCTAGTTTCGTTTCTGTGGTTAGAATAAGTTGGAACTGCAATGCAAAATGCTTCGGCTTCACAGAGAAGAAAACACCCACATAAAAGCCCTTAATTCTTCTGGCCTTATAAAGATTGCCAACAAGTTCTGAAAGTTTCTCTGGGAGTCGGTTTGAAAGCTTTACTCCCAGAGTCTAGGACTTGTACTACTTGCCTTTATTTTAAAGCATTTCATGCTCACTGTGTTTGAAACAAGGACTGAAGTGTTTTAAGTTTCTTTTAAGCTGCCTTTACAGTGCTAATTTTCTTTTTCCTGTTCATCAGTTCAAGCTGTTCGGCTGATCAGTCACTTCCTGTAAATAGTTGTGAGCAAACACCAGATGCTGTATCTCTATGGGAAAGGCAGACAGTGTCTTATAGGAAAGATGTTTTGCAAATTTACAGTTGGTGCTATCTGTTGAGATTATCATTAAGATGTTTGAGGGTTGTCTGGCAGAAAAAAAGGTGAATTCTTCCTTCTTCAGTTGCAAACAGCTTTCCATAGCTGTTTGCTAATGGATTAGTTAAATGGATGGTTACTAGAATACCAAATTGTGACTTTATAAGCAATATCAGGCAGTGCTTGCTGCTTTCCTGCTGGATCTGTTGTTGAGATCAGTTCACTCACAGTGTGAATAGGTGGAGGGGAATCGTGGTTGTTAATTATAGCTTTGGTGTAAGCTTTTAGTGCTTTGAGTCCTTTGTGAGAGATCAATGGAGAGCCTTGAGTGTTGCTCTGAATACTCAATGTTAAAGTGAGGTAAAAAGACAGGATTTTCTCAGAGCCCTTGAGTTGGAGGTAGGAAGGATTTTATCACATCATCATGGCACTTCTCCTGCGTACCCCTAAATCTTAGTCCTAGGTTGTAATTCTCTTCAGCTTTGTTAACATAATAATGTTGTCAACCGAGATGAGGAAAACTTTGCTGTTTAAAAACAAACAAAAGACTGTAAGATAGAACAGTGATAATAATTTTTACGGGTTTTTTTAATCAGTTATTTGTTCTTACTACTTCCCCCCAATACACCAGAATAAAACAAGTTAAATCCAATTAAACAGCATTACAATGATGTGGAAAAAGAGCTGAGTGCTGTGACATATGTGCCTTTAGGAGTTAAACTGAGCACCTCAGATATGTGTGGATATTTCTGTAGCACTCTAGAACAGAGTAATTGTGATTTGATTTCCATCTCTGAGGGCTGAGACTGGGGGGAAAAAGGGAACTGAAACATCTCCACATGGTTGAAATGGTTATATCAGCACATGGGTCTATCTCACCACTTGTGTTTATGTGTCTCTCACTAGGCTGTGATGCTGCCTCTGTGACAGCAGGAGTTTTGAACTATTGCAGATGTACATGAGTCAGTTTATGTTGCGTTTATAGCCATGTAGAATGCTGATCTGACTGTGTAATGTGTATTTCTAAGCTTGCTGGAAAATCTTTCTTTTTAAGGCTGTGACTTATCTTTCCCTGGCAACAAGTTGGTGTCTGGAGATCACTGTAAAATCATAGTGGATGAAGAGTCTGGTCAAGTGTCATTGGAAGATACAAGGTTGGTTTCTCAGAATGTTCTTGGAGGGACTTTTGCCAAAAGCTCAGCTGGTTATACTAACCCTGAGCTACCATAATAAATTTAATTGCTTTCAGGGTTGAAACAGGGATTGAACATGATATCCTTCACAACCTCAAATGTGAAAATTTCTTCTTTATCTTTGTACATCATGGGCACATTCTGCTGGCCTGCCAAAGTGCCCCTGATGGCAGCTCTGGCCCTGCTTTGTTGTCATCTGCAAACCTGATAAGGGTGCATTCCCTCTCCTCTTCAAGGTTGTAATTAGAGATAGATCCAGGATAGATTCCTGCAGGGTTTATACTCCCAGAAGTTGTGGGACAGGATGCAAAATTTTTGGGGAAAAAAGATTTGTTGATATGTCTGGGAAAGGTTTATAGTTGTCATTCTCCAGTATAACCCTAAATTTCAGGATGTTCCAGACAACAAACCAAACTATGTTTGCCTGTCATGGCAGCCTCAGAGTGTAGCTATAAATCTCACCTGACAAACTGTCCCTGGCAGAATTGGTTTAGACCATTGTTATGACAGAACAAGCTAAATAAATTGTGCATGATGCAGAAACATTCCTGCCTATTTTTTTCCCTTACCCACCCCCTGAGGCAGAAGGTGCAGCCAGCTGAAAACTAGCAAAGCCAAATTAAAGTTAATTTTGTGTATGATATATTCATGAAAAGGTGAGGCTTGTAACAAGCTAGTGTAACAGAAAGGCTGCACATGGAGCATTGCCAGGGAGCTGCTTGTGCCTGTTACACTTCTGTGTATCTAACAAAGAGTAAATCCCTGGAGTGCTCTCCCTCTTGTGAGTTGAAGTGTGGCTGCCAATTGCTGAATCAAGAAACCAAACAGGTTTGATATGACTGCTTGCAGAAAACCCTTCTGGTTCTTCTGGGTCTTCCAATGTTTGTGCCAAATAGCAGATGAGTCCCAGAAAAATCAGGCTGAAAGAAGATGGCTCTTGAATGTTTGGGTTGGCAGTACAGATGCTCAGAGTCACAGCAAAATACTGCAAGGTCAGCTTTTTCTTCTCTGAAGTGGAAAATAATTTGGAAACATTGCTGTGGTCAAGCTCAGATTTTTCTGGTGAAGAGGAATGCCTTGAAGGAGGGAGTGAGTGTGGGACAGTCAAACTGAGTGGACTTTGTTTCTCTGTTGTGTCTAATCCAAAGAATATAATCAAATACATGTAGACAGCCAACATTTTGTCTTCTGATAGCATAATGAGTTCTTGAATGTACTTTAAAAGAATTACCCAAAATTTACAAGTGAAAGAAAATGTTTAGAGCATTCAAAATGATTGAGTAAATAAAAGTTTGGAAGTAACAAAAGCCAAGAGTTAGCAAATAGTAAAATAAATTACTCAGACTTACCCTCTTTTGGGATATGTTTCTGCTTTATTTTCCAAACCATGTTGCTTTATACTGCTTGAAAGAAAACAAATTGTACAAGCTGACCTAACACAGTGGAGGCAGCAGTTGGATTTCTCCCAGTAAAAGCAGTTGTAAGATTCTCCATTTTGAAAAAGAAATTTTAAAGGCAACTAGTGTAATTTCTTGTTATTTTGTAGACTTTTTCCTTTTAAGGTTCTAAGTAGTAGGGGATGTTTCTGATCAGGAAACAATTTAGACAAGGCTGATACTTCTATGACAGGCAAGCAGATACTCCCTTTCTGTGGGTAAATCATTGGTTGATCCTGCAGTTGGTGCTGGTGTCCCTTCTGCTATTGAATTCTCCTCACCCTCCAGTCAAAGCTATGTCTATGAACATTGAGAGTGGAGAATTACAGTACAGAAGGGATTCTGTACCTTAATAGAATTCAAAACTCATTTCAGTTTACAGTGTGTTCAGGATTATATGCACTTTAATATCAGATAAGTGTTAGCCCAGAAGCTTTAACATAAACTACATTCTTTCCCTGGATGAATGCAAATAAATATTAGAAATTATTAGATTGGCATTTTTCTTGGAAGGGTACGAAAGTTTCTTACAACACATGGATCATTCATCTACTTCAAAAGTAGCCCTGCTCTGAGTGAAGCTGTTCATATCAATTCTGCACAGCAGATGGGATTGGGAAGAAAACAGAATTTATGGTTCATTAATGAAACTGTAGAGTCATCAACCACATTGGAATTGAGTCAAGGCCTGACTTTTTTCGTACACTGATTAAAAAAGTGACACTGGAACATTTTGTGACATAGTTTCACAACACATTTTATATCTGATAGTACTGTTTTTCTTCTGCACTTGAAAAATGGTACAGCCAGTTGGCATCAATTCAATATCTAGTCCTAATGAATGGCCTTCATATTTGGGCTTCTCGTTGTACTTTCTACTTATTTTATAGGGAGCTTAATTTGAAACATAGAAGAATGTATAAATGTCATAATTTATCATGTGTGTCTACCCACAACATTAATCTGGAATGTCACCATATCTGTTAAAAGCCTCATGCTAAAGCCTGGAATTGGAAGTGAAAGGCTGATACAATTATCTGGGATAGCTGAATAATTTTTTCCCTTTGGTTGTTGGCTGAGAGATAAATACAACTGCTTTCATTTACTGATGCATTGAAGAAAAGCTTATGATTTTCAGTGTCAAGTGATATCCATTTATTCCTATTTCATTTGGGTCCATGTGTGCCAAATAATTCATTAGTCAGCTCTCACTGAAGTCTGTGTAACTACAGAGCTGAAAAGATTTGGCTGTCTGTGGTCAATTTGATGAATAGGGTCTTGCATAGCTATTTCTGCATCTTGCTTTGTGGAACCAAGCCTGAGTGGGTTATTAGATGTGTGATATTTTGGGCTTTTTCCTTTCCCCAAAAATACCTTGTTATTGTCCCCCAGAATGATCTTGGAACTTGGCAGTCATGACAGAGTTACTGCATAAAATACATTATTGTGACATTTCCCCCGCTATGTTTAGTGAAAAGTTTGGGCTAGGAATTGCCTGTAGAAGTTAAAATTCAGTAAAAGACAAGTCTTGTTACTTGAATTTAGCTGATTTATTATAAAAGAAGGTCTAGAACATTTGGGGCAGATGGGAGATGCCTTCTGGAAAACTGAGGAGGCCAAATTTGATGTTTCCTAGTTTTGTTAAAGGACTTCTGACAGGTTTCAGAGGTTGGTGTAAACTCAATATTTGTTGCGCAATTGAAGGAGATGCAATTTCTGCTTCAACATAATCTTTTTAAATGTTGTCACTACCATCAGTATGAAGTAAAAAATCAGTGTTGTTTTTAACAGAGGGACTAAAATTCTATTTTCCTCTTAATTGCTAACCTTTGGCAATCATTTAGTGATTTCTCTGTTCTGCTGGTTCTTCAGTGCTTATGTCTTTCAGCCTAGCCAACGCCTGTATGCCTGAGGGGAAAAGGATGAGCTATGAGTGGTTTTCTTGCTTGTAGGAGCAGCTTGAAGTTTCATCAATGTGGCCCAAAATTTTTTTTTCATTTCTTGAAAGTTTAAAGCAGCATCTCATTTATGTTGGATCAGTTGATTCAGCCACCCAGACTGTGGAAGCAGCTGCAGCAGCAAGACCAAGAAATAATACCTTGATCACAACTTGATGTAGTGCTTCCAAAGGGCTTGGTTTTTCTTTTGGGCTTTGAATTAATATTTTTGTGTTAGAAAAGAGAAAGGGGAAGTGCTTATTTCCAAAAAATTCCCCTGCAGTGAGGGACAGTCCGCAGTGCCCTGGGCACGGGCCGTGCCTCCAGGAGGTGGCAGCACAGCTTTGCTGTTATTTCTTGCAGCTGCTCTGCAGAGGAGCAAAAGCAGATATTTTCTGTTCATTCATATTTGGTACCAGTTTGTGAGATTTTGAGTGGCAGAAGTTGGAAATTCGAGAGGGCTGCAGCCCTGAAGGACGCTTACTGCAAGGGAGCTGGAATTATTTAGTACTTGAATAACTTGACTTTATTATAAAACATCAATGGCTTGTGTATACGACATCACCCATAGTTAAGGGGATAAAGAAATTAATCAGCAATGCTCTGCATTTTTATTTTCCCTAGTTTAATTTCTTCTACAAGTATTAAATTTTTTATCAATATCAAAATAATTCATTCCAATTCATCTTTCATTATGTATCACTTTTTTTCACCTTTTTTCTCACTTTCAAGTTGCAAACAGTCCAAGTAACCTCACAATTTTAGGTTTTTTTCCTTTTTGAAGGAGGAGGGGGCACAAAAATTACCACTGTATGACATCCCTGACTGTACAGGAGAAGTTCCTTTGTCACAGAACATCTCAGGAGATTTCCAGTATTAAATGGAAAACACAGCCTAGAACTTTTTGAATAGAACTCTCATTGTCCTTTTGGTTTTATACTTAAAGGGTGGAGACTATTGTACAGAAGCAATCATCTAATTATTTGGAGACCTAAGCCAAATGTTAGGGGTCTTTTGTCTGTCAACTGCCATCTCTTTACCAGTAGTGCAAATGAGCTTTGAAGTTCCAGTAGCTCTGCATTTCTTTGGGAGAAATTTTTTGTTGTTAAACTTCCTTTTTTAAAAAATATTTTTTAGTCCACTTACTTTTTTAGGGGGCAGCCAGTAACTTTTCTTCTTTAAATGTATCTTGTGTTTTTCCTTCCTTCTCCCGTGTAGTTATGAAAACATTTATGCTAAGTTATCTTTTCTCTTTACAGTACTAATGGAACAGTAATTAATAAACTGAAAGTGGTTAAGAAGCAGACATACCCATTACAGACTGGGGATGTGATCTATGTTGTTTACAGAAAAAATGAGCCAGAGAACAGTAAGTGAATAATACTTTTTAAATGGTGTGCTTAGTCATTTTCTTTTGAGTCATGAGGGAAAAGAAATATCAGTATAATGAAATTGAGTAGTTCTGCTTTAAAGAGAAATATGTTTAAAAACAAGTCTCTGGAGAAGAGGTCATGGATGTGCCAGTTTTTACAGAGACAAATCTGAGCAACTGTCTGAAATTTAAATGTGCCTAGAAGTAATTTTGGTAGAACTAATGCATGGAATGGTAAGTAATGAGGTTCTAATCGCATGTCCAGTGCTTCTTTTAGAAGTCAGATTGCTGGGGTAGTTAGTGATACTTTATATATCCCAGCGAAGCAGTTTTTAGCACCAGCAGGAAAGGCTGCAAAAACTTTTTGTTTTGTGTGTGTAGGTTTTTGTGTATGTAGGTTGGCTTTTTTTGTTTTGAAGAGGAAGAGACAAAATGGGGGGGAGATGGGGAAAGCCCTACAGTGAAAGTAGAATTTGTAAACCTGGAACAATGCTATATTTACAGTTTTCATACAGTAATAAAAATATAAACTGTTAATTTAAAAATTCTAGATACATACTCACTGTTTTAATACTTTCTTTATGAAATTGCTGTTAATTTATAGACAGCCAGACAGATTTATGCTGTCTGGTGTAAATGTTACATGAAGCAGTGATAAGCTGTATTTTTCTGTCTGTGGAGTTTATCTCACAAATCCTCTCTGAGCTGGCACTATTGCACTTGATGCTACTTAGATGAATCACTTGGGTGAATTTTCCAGGCAATGAACTGAAGCACTGATTTCCATTTGGGTTAATAAGTAGTTAAATTACTAAGCCTTCAGTTTTGCTTTTTCAGCTTTTCCATCTTCAGACACACAGGAAAAATTTAGGGCATGCCTGTTTGGCCATTCTAAGTCCTACTGAAGGAGACAAAATTTTAACTTCTGATCAGAAAAAGGATTGCTGCCAACTGAAGCAGGCTTATTTACTTGTAGGTGGTTGATGGTGACAAAAATGTAGCAAGGTAGAGGAATTTTTGGAACAATATTAAATTCAAGTAAGATTGAAAAGAAAAGGATATTATCCAGTTGGTTTTATTAATAGATTCTAAATTAGTTTCTCGCTGAAACTTATGGCATGTCCCAATCTGTATTTTTGAGAGTTCGTGTATCTCACAAAGAAATGAAATAATATTGATTGAAGAGGTTGAGAAGTGAGCTCAGAAATAATAAGCTTCTTCGAAGAACTTTGATTCAAGTATCAGTAAAAACACAGTCTGTTCTGACAGAGCAGATTTTAGGTTTAAGAAATGATTAAGCCTCTGGTTCCATGGCTGGCACAAGTTAAACGTCACACAAAAGCTGCTCTGCCTGGTTTCCTGGGAAGAAAAGATCTTGCTGTGCTGCTCCTAATTGCCTCCTAAGTAGGAGTATTAACATGGTACCATTGAGGTGACCCCTCATTTGCCTCTTCCATTGTCAGACACTTTAGGGATGCAGCCACTTGTGAATAGAGGTTGTTTATGTGGGATTAAGTGAATTTTTGTTTCAAGAGCACGATTAATATTTTTAAATCTCTTTCAGATGTTGCTTATCTTTATGAATCCTTAAACACAAAACATGATGCAACTCAAGAACCAGTAGGTAAGAAAGTAGTTCAAGATCCATGGAGAGGAGCTAAGCTCCAATGACTAATGTAACCCTCTTGAGAGAGTTTGATTCCTTGGAATTTTGAAGCCATGATGTGTTGATTGTCACAAAGATAGTTTTCTTTTCTTTCCCCCCTTCCAACTGTAGAAGTTAATGTAGAAAACCAATGCCATGTGACCAAAGATACCTCAAGTACAGGAAGAAGTAATGATGAGACCCAAATTACCTCATCACTGTCAGCTACTCAGTCTTGCTATGAGGAACCACAGCCATCTACTTCTACATCAAACCTCTTTAATGCTTCTCCTACCTCTCCAGTCGAGTCTGCATCTGTTCAGCAGGATAATCCATCTACATCTGGTGAGACTTGGGTCAAGTAGTTAAAGTTTTAAAATTAACATATTCATCTCTTACCCCCATCTTGGTCTAGAATTTGCCTTATAAAGTTCTAGTGAAAATATCAGGTGGATATGTGCATTTTAACCTTCTCTCTATGGACAGGCAGGGTAAATCCTGATAGATGAGTGAAGGAATTGTGAGAATTCCTGTGGGGGACCTCATTGGCTCCTATGGAAACAAAGCTTTCCCTTTGCTGTGATCCCAACCTGTTACGTATGATCAGTATTGCATAACCCTGGCCTGGCATCCTTGTCAGGAAGACCTGGTGTGGATAATAGTCTTAAGAATAAATACTTCCCAACTGAAATAGGAATGGGGATTTTAAGTAGGGTTACACAACTAATAGGTTGTTTTTTCCCCCAGGTTTTCCAATTAGCAGATTGGTTCAGAGTGTGTTTAGTAAGTTATGCAGTCTTTGCCTTTCTGCTCCACTTTTTCCTATTCAGATGTTTGGATTGATGCATGTGCCACATCAGTTTGAGTACCTTTTGTTTTCACACATCCCATAGCTGTGTGCAGCCATGTTAATATTTCTTTATTCATTGTTTTATAGGATCACAGTCCTCAGTTGTCACTCCTGTGCCTGCTTTCCCCATCTCGGAATCCATGTGTGTAAGAGCACTGCACGACAAGCATGAAAAGCTGGATGTGAATGCTGAAGCTTCTGGAATTGCTCCAGAAATCACTGACAAAGAAAATGCAGAATCAGATTCTCAAAGAACAGGGGAGGAGGAAGGTTTGGAACCTGCTAAGAAGAAACTAAAAGGAGGCTAGTATCTGCAACTTAACCCTCAGCCCCACCCCTCCAAACTGAATTACCACAGCTGTCATCAGTCCTTCAGCTTGTTTCTTGTGTCTCACTTACTTGATTTCTGGTCCCATGAAAATAATGGCTTCAGCAGCAGAAGCTGTAGTGTGTAAAGCAAGAACCTCTTTTGGGACTGTTGCCAGCGAACAGTCAATCAGTGCAGATCTTTCAGGGATTTTTTTAATACTTGCATAAAAATAGTTAAAAAAAGCATTAAAAACTATCTCCTTCTGTCTTTGTAGATGAAGATACTTGTCCAAATCTTTCACCAGCAGCTCCAAGTGAATGTATAATTAAAATTGGCTCTGAAGATGCAAAAACATCAAATGTGAAACCAGATAAGATGGAAGAGACGTTAACGTGCATTATCTGCCAAGAACTGCTGCATGACTGTGTAAGGTATGTAAGAGTGATAAAAGCTTTAATCATGTGGTAATAATGCAAGACATTCAGTGACAGCTGTTTGAGGAGGTCAGGATAATCAGCATTTTCACAAGCCCTCTTGATTTTCCTTTTCCTACCCTATGTAGGTAGTCAAATCAATGCTAAATAGTTTTTTCAGGGTTATGGATGTATCTGAAAAAAATGAAAGATTTGTATTTTGACTCAATTTTTGTTTTCCAGCTTGCAGCCTTGTATGCATACTTTTTGTGCTGCCTGCTACTCAGGATGGATGGAAAGATCTTCTTTGTGTCCAACTTGTCGTTGTCCAGTAGAACGTATTTGTAAAAATCACATATTGAACAACTTGGTTGAAGCTTATCTGATTCAGCATCCAGGCAAGTTGAACAGTGGCTGTGGCAGAATCCAATGGATTTCTCACATGAGCTGCTTCACTGGTGTCAGGACACACTGTTGTCTATAAAATACCTGTGTGTATTTTTACCCTGCTGTTTTCTCTGACATAGCTTGTCAGAAAACAAGTGCATCTAACATGACATAATAACCTGTGGAAGATGATTTAATAATGTGAGTGCGCTAAGAATGCTTCATTTTAATTTGTTACTTCATCATGAGAAGGATACTTTTGAAAAACATACTTGAATTTAGATTTAATTAACTTTGATTATGGCCTCTTGAAAACAAAACTTAAGTTGCCCGATACTGGACTTCCTTAACAGAGAGGGGAATTTAAGTAAGATGATCTAGAACTCTCTCATCCAAAACCAAGTCTTATGGAAATGAAAATACAATAATGGTAACTATATTAAGAAAGTAGAGTGCAGATAAGGGATGTGAGGTGTTATTTTCTCTTGAAGTTTGAATTTGGTTCTCCTGCCAGATAAATGTCGCAATGAAGAGGATGTTCGGAGCATGGATGCCAGAAACAAAATTACTCAAGACATGTTGCAGCCCAAGGTGCGGAGATCGTTCTCAGATGAGGAGGGAAGCTCTGAAGATTTACTGGAATTGTCTGATGTAGATAGTGAATCCTCAGATATCAGGTATGTCTGTTTCTAGGTTGTGTGCCTATGTGTGAATGCACAGAACCACAAACTGAGCTAGTTTTACAAGTGCTCTTATTGCTGATAGTGTTTCCATGGTCATTGCCAGGACCTGTTTGCAGATTAAGTTCACTTTTGACAGTGATTAACTTGGTAGTTTTGCTGGCCATCCTTCTGAACCTTGAGCAATCACCAGAAATTAGAACTTCCAAGAATTCCAGCAAAATGTGACCAACAGTTCTATGTTGAATTGTGCAATAAAAAAAGACAGATTTCTGGTTAAGATCTTATCAGGAGATAAAGTAGTCCATGATCCTGTGAATGTGTTTGCAATTATTGTTCTTTCTTATGTGGCTGCTTTCACTTGGTCTATGGTACCAAAGCAGCTGATGCTTGACTCTAGGAATTCCCAAGTACCAAAATGCCTCCTCTTTCTTTTCAACAGCAAACATTTATTGCTGAATGTCTACAGAGGAACAGAATTCTTGTAGATAACCATTCCAACTTTGTTCCTCTTTCTTTCAGTCACATTGCTCTTTTTGTCCTTTAGCTTTTGTTTAAAATTTCTTGAGGAATACTACAAAACCCAAAGTTTTTATCTGTCACCGCTACAGCAGAGCTAGGTACTGAGTTACATAAGCTTTCATCTGTTACTGAATGAGGAAATCCTAAAGTTAAACTTCGAGAGTCTGACCAGTCTTGTGACCTAAGTTGTATTTGCATTTGTTTGGTATAATTTCATGTTGTTCTTTCAGTCAACCATATATAGTATGCAGACAGTGCCCAGGGTACCGAAGACACTCTGTTCCAGCTGTGCCTGGCACAGGCCAGGAGACAGAGGCAGGAGGAATGCAGGCCCTGGGAGATGCTCCATCAACCTCTGCCAACTTCCCTGCAGGTCAGTGTCACATTGCCCCAGCAGTGCAGCATAAAATACTGCAACTCAGACACTCAGGGCAGAATCACAGAATGCTGGGGTTGGAAGGGACCCTTGAATATCATCTCCACCTCCCCTGAGCTAAGCATTGAGCTATGCTACAGCTATGAACTAAGTTAGACCTAAGCAAACTCCCTCTCACAGGACTGTGAGAACAACTCCACACCAATGTCTTTGCAAATACAGCATTTGGCTGTTATTGTCCAAAATGGGTTGCTGATGGTTGAAAAGCTCTTAACCTTTTCTGCATACTGAAATATTTTACACAGCTGTGCAGTCCAGAAGTCTGAATGCTTTTTTTTCTGCTGCTTCATAGAGTTTTTGTAAAAAGGTTGCTTGTTACTTCAAGATTTTTATGTTGTTAATATTCATTAAGATTCCTCATCCAAACTGCAATTTCTAAATTGTTCAATCTTTTTTTTTTCCTTTTTAACTCATCCAGCTGTTCAGGAATACGTGTGTCCTGCTCAAGGAAGTCATGTAATATGCACCTGCTGCTTTCAGCCAATGCCTGACCGTAGAGCAGAGCGTGAACAGAATCCTCATGTTGCTCCTCAGCAATGTGTGTACACTTTTTATTTTCTATAGAAGTCTCTCCTTATTTATTATTAAACCTAAATTTACTTGGAAGACTGTTTTTTGTTTGAATCTTCTTTATTTGGATGCTTGTAGAGACAGCATGCAAGAATCTTGCTTTAAAGAATTTATTAGTCCTTTAAAGAATGTATTTTAAATGAAAAAGTTGTACCTTTTTTAAACCAAGTTTATTAGGGCTCTGTTGTTACTGATTTATGAGAATGGTAACTGTTGAGTTTTGTTGTGTTCAGGTCCTTACAAGGGTTTTCTTTGTTATTTTACAGGCACAGTTTGTCTGCAGCCCTTCTGTCACTTGTACTGGGGCTGCACTCGCATGGCGTGTTTTGGCTGCCTGGCACCATTCTGTGGTACTCTGGAGTAATTTTTTTGTTTATCAGCCTGTTCACTTTGCAATAATGCCTGTCTTGAACTTTCAGTAACTTAAAAGCAGATCAGTTTGTAGCACAGTCATGCAAAAAGATGCATGGCCTGTGTCCTCACATTGCAAACACACAAAATTGAAGGGGCATGTGTCTTAACTTTGACAGGATTTAACTTTGTGCCTTCATACAATATTGGGGTTAGAAACTGCACTTGCTGAGCACAATTCTTTCCAATATAAAAAAACATGGTGTATTTCAGTCTAGTAAGAGAATCATACAAAACAGTGCAAAAGCACTGAACATCTGATGATATCAGATTAGAAAAGAATCTTGCCCTCTTAAATATGCAGACTTCTGAAACTCAAGGTTTTTTGACATTTAAAAAAGTAAATTAGAACAGTTGGAATGGCTTGGCTGCAGTTTGGAGCTAATACAATATGCTTTATTAGCCCTGGTGATTTGTGCAGCTTGGTAGTGTTTGTGGACTGAAGCTGGAATTTTAAAATCTCAGGATCTTGTCTGTGCCACTAGAAGTTACAAATCACATGCATTAGCACATGTTGAATGCAGTCATGTACTTGGTGCTCACATGAGCCTGTGCATGTTATTTCAGGAAACAGAAGAACCTTCAGAAAATGTGTGAGGGCCACAGGGTTTGGGCAAGAAATAGTAACTTTTCTTCTTCTTGTTCTGATTAGAAATAAATCTTGGTGATAAGTGTTTAGATGGTGTCCTGAATAACAACCACTATGAATCAGATATCCTAAAGGTATGTGTAAAAATCATTGTGTGTGATAATAACAAATGTGCAAAGTTTAAGATGTACTCACTGATGAAATAGAAGTCATGTGCTGCCTGATACTTACAGTGGCAGCACTGTGTCACTTGCAGAACCTGACTCTAAAAGGCTGATTAAATGAGCCCCAAATGATCATCCAAAATGCTATTTAAGAGAAAAATAATTCAATAAAAACATGCCAGGAAAACAATGCTTGTTAAATGTTTAGTCCCAGACAAGTTAAATTTCACACTAACTTGTATGGAAAGTGTTTTGTCCATACTATAACAGGGTTGCCTAAATTAGGTAAACTGGGTGAAATCTTGATTTGAGGTAAATGAGAATGTGACTGGAATGAATCTATTTGCAAACTTTTGGCAAAAGTGGAGATCTGAAAAAAAGATACTTAGTGGAAGGTTTTATTGGTGCTCTAAATGTATCATGCTAATTAAGTTACAGGTATTTAATTTTTTCTTGTCATCAGCATAAACCCATTCTGAAAACATAATTACTGATAGATTTGGAAATATTTGAGAATAAATGGCTTGCTTACTCTTTAAGATTGGAGATTTTTCTAGATTAAACACTTAAAATTGCTCTTTTCAGGATTACCTGGCATCCAGGGGTCTGACATGGAAAAATATGTTAAATGAAAGTCTCTTAGCTCTTCAAAGAGGAGTTTTTATGTTGTCAGGTATGTGTTGTGTTCAGTTTGCATGTGCATGACTGCTTGTCTGGATGTAACTCAGCAATGTTATCAAGAAGTTTGGAGTTCTGTGTACAGAACCAGTGCAATCCTGGCTCTTTAGTTAAACCTGATTTATTAAGCCTTACATTTTTTACCAACTGGTTTTCTCCCCAGATTACAGAATTACTGGGAACACAGTGCTTTGCTACTGTTGTGGCCTTCGCAGCTTTCGAGAACTTGCCTACCAGTACAGGCAGAATATTCCTGTTGCTGAATTGCCAGGTGGGGATTGTTTTGCTCAGTAAGGAGGGGGAAAAGTAATTGAAAGAGTTAACATGAGTTTTATCTTTGTATTGGTGTTCTTTTGGTACTTTCATGTAGCCCATTGCAAATCTTGGTGCAGGGCTAATGCCTTAGCTCCTTGCTTTACTTGTCAGCTGCAAGCTTGTGTATAGTTATTTTCAGATTCCCTAATGGAACCTTTTCTTTCAGTATCATTTCTCATCTGTAGAATAAATATATCTGCAGAGTGAAAAGAGGAACTCAGTCAAATCAGAATATAGTCAACAGGAACCAATTGCTGTAATTAAATTTATTTTCCCATTTAAGTACATAAAATTATGCATTTTCTGAACAATTTAACACTTTACCAGCTCTCAACTAGGAACTAGAATGCTTTTATAAACTGATTCTAAATCTTTGCATTTACAATTTTAGTATAAAACTGCATGCAAGCAACTGTCCCTCATTCAGACCTAAATTTGTTTGGGACAGAAGCTGTTCCAACAGTTTGCTTTTAGATATTACTTCTGTCAACTTAGTTCTTGCTGTTAGCAACATCTTCCCAGTCTTAAGTTGTTGAGAAATCTGCTTGTGATGCTGTACATAATGAGCAAAAATTGTGTATCTGATTTGCCCTTAACGTTGGTTTTCAGTTCATCTACTGGACAGCTGAGTTGTAATGTATGTGAAGGTGGGGGAAAGCAGCAAACTCTATCCAAATTAATAATTTTTCTTTTGTGTGGAAATACATCTAGACAAATGCTGAGTGTCTAATCAAGTCCATCTCTATTAAAATAAATGGTAAAACTTCAGTTGGCAGCACAAAGAACCAATCACTTTCATCATAATTCCGCATTAACATTAAAAACTAATTTTTTGTCCTTCACAGAGTGTTTGCTTTGTTTCCAGAAAGGTGAAACAATATAGTTCTAGAGTCATTTCTTGCCAATCATGTGTTGTTTCTGATGAGTAACCACCATTTGCAGTGGCTTAATAATCTGGGTCACTTTAATGACTTTTGTAATAAATGCAGCATTTCCTTTGCTCTTCTTGCAGTGACTGTCACGTCACGTCCTGATTGCTACTGGGGACGCAACTGTCGAACTCAGGTCAAAGCACACCATGCCATGTAAGTTGTACACTTCAGAAGGTGGTTTTGCTTTGTGTTCCTTAAAAAAACCAAACCAACAACAATCTAAATGCAGCCTTTCAAGTGCCAGAACTTGCAGCATAAAGCAGGGTTGGGTGAGCATTGGGGAATTTTTTGTCATTTTTGTTTTTAACACGACTTTGAAATGAGCCCTCCGTGCATCAGGGCACTGCCAGCACTTGTAAGTTGATGTAACCCATGGCTGACACTTCTTGAGGCTGTTTTTCCACCCACTGGGGTGGAAGGATTCTTTTAGTGAAGTGCAGCTTCCATTGAAGGAATCAATTGGTGGGAATAATTAGCAACAGGAGCAGCTTGGAGCATGTAACATAAGCCCCAGCAGGTTCCCGAGGAGTTTCTAGGTCTTACATCTCTGACCCAAGGAATCTGGCATGCCTCAAAAATTAAATACTGAGCCTGAAAAGAGATTAACCCTCTACTTGTCAAGAGTTTTAATACCAGCCTTGGACTGCTGGTATCTGGAGAGAAATGTCCTTCCAAAATAAATCAGGCTTCTTGAGTAAAAATATCAAGGCCAATGCAGTTTTATTCTTGTAAAAAGATGCACATGTAGTAAGACAAATATTAAAGACTCATAAAACAAAAATTTTCTCCCTAAGAACTAACTGGTTTCAGGCAGGGTTGAAAAATCCTTCTTGCCTTATGAATAATTCTCTAAATTCTCAGTGTAATTTAAGGTAGAGGAGCTGTTACCCCTTATTGAGAAATTGCCTTAATGAATAGAAGATTCTGCAGTATCTTTCTAATGTTGCAATGTACATACCCGCTTAGCATAATTCCTTTAATATTTCAGGTACTGTGGGTTGAAAATAACCAGTCTGTGCAGCTCAGGCAAGCAGATCATAAGACAGACTTGTAAAATATTCATCTGCAGTCTCTTACAAATTCAAGGGTTTTACCAAATAGCTTTCAAAAATAATTTTGGATTTAAGTTGCAGATGTAATTTGAAGTACCACTGCTATCTGTAACTTCACATTATAGGACAGTCTGTGTTCCCAGAGGAGATTTTGTTTTGAAATGTTAGCGTTAATTCAATATCAAAGTACTCACCAGTCATCTTTGTTCATGTTGTGGATAATTTCATCTAGAATAAAAATGACTCAGGGGTTTTTTCCCCTTCTTTTTTTCCTTCTTTCTCTTTTTTCCCCAAGCATTAGTCCTTCCTAGAACTTTACTGGCTGCTACACTTGTTCTTGAAATCCATAAAAGCAAACAGTGCTGTCATACGACTCCTTTATATCCAGATAATATTTTAATTTTTTTAATTGAGCTAAATTGTTCTACTAAGTAGTTAAATTATGTGAGCAAGGTTTTTCTGATCTTTGATCTAATCCAGCTGAGGGGGAAATTCAGGATCTCCTTTGCACCATTTCCTCCACATGTAGTGACACACTCAACCCCTCATCTTCTGTTTCAGTTGTGTGTGAGGGGCCACATGGCCCAAGCAAGAGAAAAAGAAGGAGCAGTGAAATGTTTTTGAGAAGTGGGAAGAAGTGCTTGGTAGTAAACTATGTTTTTTGTTTAATCCATGAAGACAGATTTGGCATTCCTATAAAACTTGGATAATACAGGCTGAGAAAAACTTTTTCTTTCCAGAAGATTCTAAGCCACTAAGAGAATGTGTTTATGTTGAAATATAAAATTAGCCTAGTTAATTCTAGTTCTTAATGACTTGTGTAATGCTGTCTACTAAAAGTTACTAATACCTTGCAGGGGAAAATTAAATCACCAATTCCTGTTTTAATTGCCTTCTGGGTTTGAAGTATGCAGAAGTATAGAGGAATGCTTTTTAATAACAGGTTTTCTGTGTGCATAATAAAACTAATGGGGGTTAGGCAGGAGAGATGTTGAAAATCCTGTTGCATGTAAAATGACAGTAAAGTATGATCTAAACAGGTTCTGAAAAAGATTTCAGTGTGTAAATGGTCTGCTTTAGAGTGTTTAACATTTAAAATACCCTGTGCAAAATGCTGAATTGCTTTTGTTGCCTGACTTGTGAGAACTTTGTTACATTTTAATATTCTTATGTTTTTCTTTATTTTAGGAAATTCAATCACATTTGTGAGCAAACAAGATTCAAGAACTGAAAACTTGTAGTCTGTAGAGAGGGGACAAAAGCCTGTTACACTGCTTGTACAGTTAAGGGTTTCAGGGGATCTGCTCAGTTCCCCCATAGCAGGGAATCATTCACTTTTCCATCGGGTAACCTGATGTGAAATTTTTAATTTGTAGAATTTTACAGCTGTACATGAGTAAGGTAGATTTTTTTTTTTCCCAAGGTAGTCCAGCAAGCATTGCATTCCATGCTCATGACTACAGTGAAGAACACAAACAAATCACACTCACAAAAACCAGCCATATGTTGGGATGACCTAAGAATAAGGAGTGTATTTGCACTACTTGTGAAGAAACTAAGAAAAATTGATAGACTTAAAATAGAGAAGTTTTGTAAAAGTATCTGATGGGTATTTCAAGAGCCATTAATATTTAAGGAGGATATTCTCAGTGTATATTTGTAACTGCATTTTGCGGTAGTCCGATATTTTGTTGCTACCCATTGCCTTTGGGCTAGAAACCACATTAATATTCCTTTTTAAAAAATCCATCCGATAAACAGCTGTTTCAACTTAAAGCTTCTACCATCTGTGCAGTGTTACAGTGGAGGTAGTACAGTTTCCTTTCTTAGTTTAGACATGTTGATGTTTTTATTCACGTGAAATTACAAAAAGAATTGCACAAAAATTTGAAGATCACATTTAAAGGTGGGATAATACTTGAAGCAGAACAGACATCTGCTAATATTACTTCTGTAGTGTTTTATATCAGAAGACCAAACAGTGCTTTTGACATAGAGCAGCCAGTAGGACACACTGGTTCTTTTTTTTTGTATTTCTTTTTTGGTTTGATACCATGTGCTAAATATGTACCTCTGCAATGCAGCTGTTCTCTAGCATGCATACACTGGTGAAAATGTAGAAAAAACTAACTTAAAACAGCATATAGCAGCTTTACTGGAAGGAACAATCTTACAGAAAATGAGTGAATTTGGACAAATTGTAGCAATATGGAGGCATTTCTGGATAGGGATAGAGATAGGGATCATGAAGGGGCACACTGGTGTCACTGACATAGGAAATGTGGATTTCATTTTCATGCCTTCTGCAGAGCTCATTCAGGAGATGTCCCACGTGTCATTAAAAACAAAGAAATCCCAACTTTCCCCCTTCCTACAAATTGATATGATCATAATCTGGTTGCTAATGTTGACAGACCTCAACTGGGACCAATTTTGTTCTCATCACACCTACAAGAGTGGAGCAGAATGAGAAGAAATCATTCAAAGCTACCTCTGTAGAGACCATGTTGTTTTAAGTATGCCTTATTTTATGAGCAGGATTTATACTTGGATGTTAAAAAGTGTACACACAGTATCTTGTGATATAATGGAGCACAAATGATGCAGCACATCGTGTCTACTGGTTGCAGTGAATTGAGCAACTATTTCCAGTAATACACATCTTACTAAGAATGCTAATTAGAATGATGTCTTTCTGTTTAGATTTTTTATTTTTGAAAATAGCTGTCGCAAGGATGGGTCTGTTGACCATGCCCTTATGCTATTAAAAATACACTTTGGTGTGGACTTCTCTTCCTAATCTCTGGGCATTTTCTCCTTTGAGTAGGATTGAAATTGGATCTGGAATATTACTTGAAACTTCTTTTAACAACAACAGTGTGTTTCTGTCTTTTAGTATTAACAATGTTCTGTTGCTTCTGTATTTGTATTTTATGTTTAGATTTTTTAATGGTTATTGTATCTTCTCAGGACAACCATTCCCAGCTGGTTTTGATCTCATTTCATCTCTGGCTGTGCATGTAGCAAATTGAGTGCAGTTATGGAGATCAAGCCTTTGCACATTATATGCAGAAATGTGCTTTACATTCTCATTCACCACTCCCACACCCCAGATGGGCTTTCAGCACAGTCTTGTCACTGTGCTGGTGTTCAAGCCTCTTGTGCTGAAGTTGTTTTGTTGGTCAGGAGTAACTTGCACTTACTCAAGTTTTGTTGGTGTAGGGGTGTATTGAGTGACCATAAGAAAAAAAAAATTGGGGAAAAAACCCAAACAGCAGAACTCATGTGCTTAACATCTAAAGTACCTGTGCAGTAGATGTTCTTCAAGTTGTTTTTCTAAACCCCTCTTCCTTTTCCCAGTCACAGGTAATTAATCTACCTTTCTATGCATATAGGGTTGCAGTAGTGCAATGGAATGAAGGGATTTTTTTTGGTCATTTATATTGTACCAGGAAGAGATCAGAAATTGGCTTGCAGATGGGGAGGGTGAATAAATCCTGATCTTTATATGCTCTTAAGTAAGTAAGAGTATCTGTCATGGGTATTACATACTCTACCTTAGACCTTTTTAAATGTATGGTTACCAGGTGATAGTTAATGTGATAAATGTATGAACTATGCTTGGTGTAATTGTTAAAATATTTTAAACGTGCAGCATATTTTTAACCTGTCTAAAGCACATCCCCACCTCCTTTATAAGAGATGTTTGGAAGCTGAGCATGAAATATGGTAGAATAGATGTGGAAACCAAGGTGATTATGATAGGATTTGACATAGTGGTGAACAAGGTATATAGTCTCTCTGTTTGAGAAAAGTTCTTTTATAAAGAAGGTGGAGAGTAGTTCTTCCAGTTCTCTTTTGTGGTTTACTTTTTTTTTCCTGAACTAAGAAGTTATTAATTAAAAAAAGAAAAAAAAGCTGCTGAAGTTGTCTGTTTGTGTTTCTTGTGTGGCATGTACTGTCACCACAGAAATGGATGTATGCAACACTTGCTAATGCTCAGTGAAGCTTTAAGTTATTTGAATGTTGGGATTTTACAAGCAAGCACCATCCCTGAACTTGGCTAACTGAAAATGAGTTTTTATGTCATTCTCAAACTTCCTTGAAAGTGTCAGATGATACTGCAAAGGATCATCAGAATCCCTACAGGATGTATAATAAATCATATGAGCAAAAGATTATTAAATAGAAGTAAGAGGGCTTCAAGATGCTTGCAAATTAAAAAGTTTGTTACTTTTTTTAAAAAGTAGTTACTATTTTAGTTTCTTGCAACACCATAAACACTGAAGTGACAAGTATTTTACCACCTGATTTAACAGCAGCCTGGATGAAATTACTGTAATACTGTGTTCATCTTTATTACAATTGTATAAATTATAAGGTTTCAAATGACTACTGTTAGTACAACTTTTTCTGCACAGAACTTTAGCCTTGCTGAGTAAGTAGGAGCACTTGCCTGCCCTGTTGTATCTGAGGTGGAAGAAGACAGTGATGCCAGAGTTAAGCTTCAAGTTGCAGTTTAGCATCCCAGGATTTTTGTGCTGCTGCCATTCCCATACTTGGAGCTGGATACCCTTTAATGTTGTAGCTAATCTATGTTGCTGTTCTTTACCCAGCTGTCAGGCTAAATTTAAGTGAAACTCAAACTCAGGTTAAGTATTGTAAAAGTGAAAACACAGTGTTGTTCTGTGCACCAGAAAGATGAGCTGATAGCTTTTAGAACTGGTAATTTTGGCTGGCCTTGCACTTGCAGTGGATTTAAATTATTTCTACTCCATTATGTCCACAAATGACTTGTAACTAATTTAGTTTGAGGGAGCTGCTGCTTTGGGATTAATGCACTATTGAGAGATCAGGTCTGGCACAGCCAAAGCTCTTCCAAGCACTTTCTGCATAAAGAAAAAAGAAAAATATTGGTGGGATTGAAGGGACAAATGTATGACCACTGGCAGCTCTTGGAGCCCTTGGAGTGGCTCAGGTACTCAAATTCTGCAGGACAATTTCTGCTTAAACTGTGAAACTGTTTTCATTGTATTTAGCAGGAATAACTTGGTATTTGACAGTCCAAGGTTAATTATTAGCTTTTTCAGTCACCAAACAAAACACGTGCGTTTGGTACCAATTTCCAGTCTTCAGTAGAACTGTGTAGGGCAGATGGTTTAGCCTGCAGCAGGAGCTTAGGGAAATAAGTTGATTCAAGTGAAAGGAGTTAGGAATTTGGGAAGTGAATGCTGATTCCAAATTATGCTCTGAAAATCTGGTTTCTTATGGCCCCTTAGAAGTCTGCTGGAAAGGAGCCTTTTTTTATGGTCTGCCCACTTAAAAAAAGTCAACAGTCACTGAAAGTTAGGAAAAAAACATCTTGATTTGAAGAACATGTGAGGATTTTGCATTTTTTCCACCTATTTTATCCAACATTCCTTCTGCATGATGTTTGGGAGCTGAAATACCACTTATACAATTCCAAGGAATAAGTTCTGAAGAAAACTAATTATACTATTTCCCACAGCAATGCTTAATATGCAAAGATTGCTTCTAAATCTGCTTTCCAGGTCATCCTTCTTTTCTTCACACTTCCATTTTGACTTTCAATGAGGTAATTTCACCCTTAAGCTCATTAGTTTCCATAGGAAATGAATTATAAAAAATGCTAAGTGTGCCATATGAGGTTTAACATCAAAGACATTTCTAGACAGACCATGAATATATGTTGAAGCTGTATTTAGTCTCTGTTGGGTATTCTTTTCAGTGCTGCTGAGTTTCACTTGCTTTCATTAGGTAAGTGTTGGCTTAGGACTTACCTTTTCTTTTCCCTTGCAATTCAAATTAGTCTTTAATTGTTTAGAATAAAATCTACTGACTGGACTGTTTGAGTCAAATGTGTTTGACTCAAACAGGGCTCATGTGCCACCCTCCTGAGGGGAAAAAACCCCAACAAAAGAGTTCTGAGCAGAAAAAGTTGCAACCAACTGCTCTTAGCAAAAAGTTAGAGTTCTGAAAGGAAACCTCAGTTCATGTTTTTCTACTAAGTTATAAGTGGGATTTTTCTTGCTAAATGCTATTCTGAATCTTCCAAGTTAGGATGCTTTACCTGGGTGTTAAATGTGTTGTTTCCCCTTTGAGCCTCCATTCCCCACCAGTTCAAGTACCTGACAGTGAGAACCTCAGCACACCAGATTCTTGTCAGCTTGTATGGCTTCAAACTTTTACTTTGAAGCACTGTTTGTACAGTGAAAAAATAGGGAATGCCCACATATTTTTGTCCTATTTAGTCTACCTAACACATTGGCTAGAGGGTTTGGCTAGTATGTTCCAGAATAATTCATTTCTAAAAAAATAAAGGTGAGTATTATTCAGTTTTGTTGAAAAGAATACTTCTCTTTGCTAGCTCCACAATGTTTTTTTTACATTTTCCCCCCATGCAATTGTGCTTGGAATGATTTTTCCCCTCTCTTCAGT